AGATTGGCACCGTGGTGTAAACCGGGAAGACGATTTTGCCGACTTGAGTCCACAGCAGCATTGTCGAAGCAGGGATTCCTTGGATGGGGCCGGTGTTGACGCTGTTGTCGACGAAGCTCGATGTCATAGTAATAGAACCTTGAGCACCAAGTCCCCCTACCTGGCGCGCCACTGTCGACGGTGGGTACCTGTAGACCGGATATAGAGGGTATTGGGGTACGCTGGTACGAGGATCTACGTAATACGACATCAAGGAAACAAAAGACAAAGATTATACTGGTTCAGGCCCCTTAGCAGGTAATAGCCCTAATCCAGTTGATATGGGATTACAAAGGGAATAGTAGAACTCGGCGATACCGACGAGATCGTAGTCAAGTTGATTCGACTAGATCACCCGGCGACTTGGCCCTTGTAGTCTCCGACTTCGTAGGCTGTGGTCGTTGTGTAAGCTTTGAGATTCGATGCCTTAGGTCCCCTCGGGGGGTCCCTTTTATATCGCAGGTCAGGTGGTCTCCAAGTAGGACTCGGAGACATCAAACCCTGCACGATATAGTAACGACCCAGTCCTATACGGGTAGGAACCTTTGCATTGGTAGACTTCGTGATGGATTTCCTTAGCGTGTTCAGAGAACGTCCGTATATGCGCCGATATACCGTATTGCCGTATAGCGTTCATCCAAGGGTAGAGGGTATACCTTATCCTTAACCCTGACAGAATTACATGTAGTTATACTCAAATTTATTCTATAGTTACACTTGAAATTGTTTTATCCAGAAAACTTGTGATATTTTTTAGCAATTCCTTTTTTTCTAAAAAAAATCCTAATTTTTGGCCAAAAAAATCAAGTGTGTGCATCAAAATTCATAAAAATATCTTAGGTAAAATAGTCTTACAAAACTATTTTGTCTAGAAATTTTATCCGTATAAAGTTTCCTCTTAAAAATAAGTTTTTGAAAATATCTTTGTCAGGGTTACAGATAAAGCATATCCTCTATCCTACGACATATGGAATATACCGATAAGATATACCTTCACGTATACGTATACGGTTGGTTTCCATATATGCCGTTAGGAATTCGCCTCAAGTTAAGGAATATCTCCACGAAGTTAAGGAATTGCAGAAGTCCTACTTGGAAAGGGTAAAATCTCTAGTATATCGTGTCGGTTTACATATCTCCAAGTCTTACTTGAGGGTCAAGGTATCCCACGATATAAAAGGGACCCCTAGGGAGAGGCAAAGGGCATCGCATCTCATCGCCAACACACCCACCAGAGTTTATGAAGCCAAAGTCTACGGAGCCAACTCGCCGGGAGATTTCATCGAATCCCTCGACTACGATCTCATCGGCATCGCCTGTTCGGTTACTCTCTTTGTAATCTGTTCTCATCGTCATTATTCCCATATAAACTATATTAGGGCTATTACCTGATATGGGGCATGAACCAGTATAATCCTTGTCTTTTGTCTATTTTGATGTCGTACTACACAGATCCCTGTTCCAACGTACCCCAATACCCTATTCTTCCGGTCCACGAGTATCACTCGTCCACAATCTTGCAAGATATATTATGAAGATACCTTCAAAAGAAACCTTGAAAAACAACCATAGTGCTTAAGATCCTCTTTATCTAGGCTTAGGCTTATTGGTTTAGACTGTTAAGCCGATATTTTCTTTTGTGTTTTATAAGTTGGTGGTTTTAAAGAATTAAATTTAATGGTGAAGTTCTACATCCACTTCAAACAAGAAAAAAAAAAGTACCTCGCGACCTAGATTTTGCTTAGGGCATCTTTGTTTATGCTTAGGTTTACTGGCTTAGACTTTTAAGTTAGCCTTTTGCTTATATAATTAACAAGCCGATGAATTTAAAGTTCTAAGATTAAGGATAGAGTCATACATCTACCTCACATAAACCAAAAGGCTTCTCCACGGCTTAATAATTTAAGAGTGGCTTATGGATTGGAAAAAGCTAAATGAATAAACTTCTTGTTTGTTTGTTTATGGTTAGACGTATCGACTTATAGGCTGGTTTATAAGTGTAATAAAGAGGACCTTTAACATTGTAAAATGAGCTTACGGATTTCAAAAAGCAAAACAAAAAATAATTGTTTATTTCTGATTAGACTTTTTGCTTATAAGAGGTTATAAGCCTAAACAAAATGATCGCTGTTGAGCTTAATGCCAAATGAGTTGTACTGTTTTGACTTCAAATAATGAGAAAATCCTCTATATACGCTTGAGAATTCGTCCAATCCCTTATGTACCCCTTAATTTTGCCTCATCCTTTATATACCCTTGAGTTTTCATTTTGATCTCCTTTATGCCCATTTTGTTAATTGAACATGAGTTGACCGTTAATTTTTTTAAAATTGACTATATTACCCCTCTTATATTTATGTGCTAGTTTAATGATAAAAATACAATTCTTATATTTAAACTCGGGAGCTTGAGGTGCTACTCAGGTCACTGCAATCACTAAACAATATTGTTCTTTTGACAAGTCAAACTAAACATAGCAACATCTATAACATCAAACTAGTTTTATTAAATGTAACATTAAATATAAGGGATATAAGGGATTCTCTCATATGTTCCTAGTATGTTTGTTTTGTGTTAGAAATGTTGCTATGTTTTTCTAAAATATTTGACTCAGAAAATAGTCTAAATGCCTCATAATATAAAGCAAATTTGATACACTTTTACCCGGAAGTAATATGTGCACTTATTGATCTTTGTAGATGGCCGCCATCGTGACCGAGGAGTTGAGCTGAGGGCATATCGTTCCAACTGAACATGCATCTGCAGCTGTTGTCAGCCACCGTCCACCGTTGCTGCTTCGTTCCAACCACGGTCATCGTTTCATCTGCCGTAGCACAATTAATCTGGTACACCACTCCGAGATGAATGAATGATGCTCCAAGCCGACTTTGGGGAGGGGAGCCTCCGATCAGCTGATTCAAGGGGCAGGACGTACGAACACACAGGAACAAAGGTAGCACAACAACAGTACATCAACGTGAAGATAAGGGCAGGTGCTTTCCTTTCTATTGGGACTTGAGGGAGCCGGAGGCACTGAGCATCGATCAGTTTGTGATTTGTTTTAAACATCAGCAAGTTTAAAGCTTTTGTTGGCATGCTTGTGTCCATTCAAACTTCTTTTCCTTTCCTTTCTAAGCAATTGAGTTATAAGTCTGGTGATTGTAAAAAAAAGTGTAAAATGCACGGGCGGTCCTTAAACTTGTAGCGGTGTATCATCTAGGTCCCCAAACTCTCAAAATGCATATCCAGGTCCTAGAACTTGTCAAAGTGTATCATCTAGGTCCCAAACCGACACATCCCCTCTTGGATCCTACGTGGTGCTAATGTGACCTGCCACATGGACGTGACGCGTCTTTTTCTTCTTCTTTTCTTTTTCTTTTCCGTTTTCTTCTCATTCTTCTTTTTTTCCCTCTTCTACTCGGGTCATAGAGAAAGGAAAATACAAGAGAAGAAAAAAAAGAAAAAGAAAATTTTTAAATGGATCCCATTTGTCAGTCAAAATTATGCCACATCAGCGCCACGTAGGATCCTGAAGGGATTGTGGTGATTTGGGATCTAGATGACACACTATAACAAGTTCTGGGACTTGGATATGCATTTTGAGAGTTTAAGAACCTAGATAACACACCACTACAATTTTAAGGACCGCCCATACACTTTACTCTAAAAAAGCCTTCATAATCGTTGCTAATATGGAACCAAACCTGGAATACTTTTGTTACTGATTTGGGTGGTTTAGGGGACTTCCAGTAAGTCACAGCTCAGCTCTTGTCTTAGGCTGTGATCAATTGTGGGGGTTTAACGCATAATTAATTAAGTAACGACGGTTTAACGCATAATTAATTAAGTGTTTGTAAAAAAGACTTAAAATAGATTAATATGTAAAAAACTTAAAAACTGCTAGATTAATATGATTTTTAAGACAACTTTCCTATAGAATTTTTTAAAGTTAATGTACCTTTGGAAAACATGTACGCAAAAAACGAGGAAGGAGATGTTAGTTACCTAGACAATCGAATGCAGCCTTAGCAGGGTTAATCGGTCAACTGCTGATTCATTTTCAGATATTGGTGTGTTGGATAGTGCTGCTTGGTAACTTTGATTTCCCCACGAGGTAGCTCACTAACGTATGATTAATTAATTATCAGAAAGAAGCTTGAAAAATAAACTAATATTATTTTTGAAATAACATTCCTATAAAAAATATTAAATAACATATTGTTTAACCGTTTGAGAAATACTCGCGTGAAAACGACGAAACAGAAGTTAGGAAAGTACAGTTGAGAACACACACAAGGACACTTCTTTTGACCAACATTCATACTTACTAAATTTGGAATAGAACTTATGCAGTGTGAATTTTTCTAACACAAGTCAATTATGTGTGGAATGGTACTACAATTCTACATTATGACTTAGGCCGTGTTCAGTTGTTTTGGAAAAAAAAAATTTGACATATACGGACACACATTTGAAGTATTAAACGTAGACTAATAACAAAAACAAATTACAGATTCCTCCTGTAAACAGCGAGACAAATTTATTATGCCTAATTAATCCGCTATTAGCAAATGTTTACTGTGCACCACATTGTCAAATTATGGCATAATAGGCATAATTAGGCTCAGATTCGTCTCGCAATTTACATGCAAACAGTGCAACTGGTTTTTTTATCCATATTTAACGTTACATACATGTGTCCAAATATTTGATATAACGAAAAAGTTGAAAGTTTAAAGGGAACTAAACATAACCTTACCACTACCAGAGGGGTGCCACAATGTCACTGCCCTTGATATTTGAATGAAGCTTACATATTGCCTGATTCCCATTTGCCACTGCCTTTGATATTTTAATGAAGCTTACATATTACCTGAAACTATTCTGCCTTAATAAGTTTGCAGAAATAATCCACTGTACATACCCTAATAAATGATCAACCATCAAGATTATCCGAATAATAGCACAAACACTTGATACCAAACTTCAGCTACACATGCTTGCTGGTTTCCACGATACCAGGAAGAATTAGAGATACATACGAGAAATTAGCATCCATGTTCTGTGAATATTTCAGTGCGCATGTAGTATAAAACATGACAACACAAATGTTATGTGAATATTTCAAAATACATGTATAACATAATAAAGTGAACGGTAATTAACACATCGCAAATAATCCAAAATGCCCTACAACATGGCTCTCTCACAAGTCATAACTTCACTAAATCGCATTTTATCTTAAACAAAACGATTTATGAGATAAATTTCCTATTACCAAAGTATGCAAATCACATTAAATCAAAGGGTGAAATGCAACTCTTTAGTTCACTTGCAGTTGGTCTGCCAAGGGCCAGTGCATTTTCTAGTTGTTCGCTAATATCAGGCAAGCAGGCATTGCCATCTTCCAGCAACTCGTTGCACAGAGCCTCATGCGACAATGGCTTACCTCCTTTATGCTGAAAAGAATACATAGAAAAACATCAAGGGCTGATTAGATAGACTTAGCAATGGAGTTGCAAACGCACAACAGATAATTGCAATCACACAATTTGAAATAATAACATATGGTTCCGTTTTGGTGTACTAAAGCAATCACAAAGCTGTAGGAAAATGATCATATTTGGTTCCAGTTATTAGTAAAACATTCTTGACATTAGATGGAAGAGAGAAAAAGGAACAATAGAAGTTGCGTGGCTTTACGATGGTAATAAATCAGAGTGGTTCATAAACATATCAGCATATTCAAAAATAAGAGAAGCAGTAAAAGGGAGGGAAGGGGACAAACATTTAAACAATGCTTGACATTAATGTGCTCGTTGCAGTTCTTATCACACATATGACCATCCTGACATGCAAACTATTTCATGATGGAACCTCCATCCCTTGTCATAGAAAAACCTGAATGCCAATTAGCAACACGCTCCATCCTCGAAAATGGACCCTTGCTTTCTTGGGACTGCACATAATAGCATAAATTTTCAATGAACAAATTTACTTTTGACCTTCATCACTGCAGTCACCAAAGGCCAAAAGCCCACAAGAACCAGAACTTATTGGTAGTGACAGTACAAAAGAATGAAAATTGCAGTGCCATCAATGTTTTTCAGGATTCAGGAATAGACATCCAACGAAATTACCAACCAATTTCTCTGTTGATGCAGATTCACTAAGAAAAGGCTGCTGAAGAATATTTCTAACCTGAGACAAACCATACCAAACAACCTCCAGCAACTTACTGGAAACCTTCCAATCAAAACATGAGATAGCCTGAGAGTGTTCAAACAATTATTGCGACACAGATAGCCTGAGATTTCAAAAACAATTTCTACAATACTGGTGACGGATACAACTCTATAGCCATGAGGCTTCCTTTGAACATAATGCTGTTAAATCTTTAATCCATTACAGTTTTATGGAACACGATATTATTAGTGTTTTTTTCCAACTTCTAGGATACATCTTAAAGATCATTAGTCTGTTCGTTTAACATTTGGCAACAGAGGGATGCAGACTAGACGTGTGAACCAAATATGCAAAACCATGGTTCTGATTGGTGTTTTTGTACTAGCAAAAATAGAAATGACTAAAATATATGGTTGACTTGCACTTTATAGGCAAGAGGACCCGAATCAAAACTAGATAACCACAATGCCACCGCCTTCGATATTTGAATGAAGCTCATATTGACCTGACACTGTTTTGCCTTAATAAGTTTGCATAAATAATGCAGTGTACATGCACAGCTATACATGCTTGCTAACTTTAACTATATCAGGAACAAGACTTCCAGCTATTAGTAAGAATTATAAAAAAATATCATCCATGTTCAGTGACTATTTCAAAATGCATGTATATAGCATAACAACATAAATGTTCAGTGCACAGTAATTAACACATTATAAGTATCAAAAGGTCCTACAACATGGCTCGCTGATGACATCAATAAAAATCACATTTTAAATAAAACAATACAGATTGTGGGATAAGTTCTCCTATACTAAGTATGCGAAACATATTAAATCAAAGGGTGAAAAGTGAAATTGTATGTCATACTTTACTTGCAGTTGGTGCACCAACGGCTCACTTGCAGTTGGTGTGCCAAGAGCCAGTACATTTTCTAGCTGTTCGCTAGCAGGCACTGCCCATCTTCCAGCCACTCATTGCTCAGTGGATTAACTCCTTTTGTACTGAAAATAATATGCAGAAAAAAATGAGAACTTATCAGATCAATAGACTTAGCTATGCAGCTATACAAGCACCTATTTTTTCAAAAGATAATCACAATAACACAATTTAAAATAATAAAATATGATTCCATTTGTTTTAGCAAATCAATTACAAAGCTGGCAGGAAAGAATGCGATATTTAGTTCCAGGTAGTACAGTAAAAGGAAGGGAAGGGAACAAACATCTATAGAATGCTGATAGACATCTTGTAGAAGCTCAGCCAACCAGTAGATTAAATGGTGAACCATGTTCAGGCTTGACATTGGTCATCTTGTTGCAGCTCTTATCACACATATATGATCTTCATGAGGTTCCGTCCCTTCCCCATAGAAAAACCTGAATGCCAATTTGCAAACGCTCCATCCTCAGAAAATGGACCCTTGCCTCCTTGCAACCGAATATAATGGCATATATTATCAAGGAACAAATGTGCTTTGAAACTTGATCGATGTAGTCACCAAAGGCCACAAGCACACTGGCAATGCAGAAGAAATAAAATTGTAGCACCATTGATATTTTTCAGGAATGGACATCTCATAAAATCTGGATGAAGAAACAATTTTTCTGATGATGCAGATTTGTTGGGCAGATTGCTCAAGAATATTTCCATCCTGAGAGAAACCACACGACCATACAAAACAACCTCCAGTAACTATGGAAAGCTTACCGATCAAAACCTGAGATAGGCCGAGAAATTTTGTTCAAGCAATTTCATTGCAACACACGGATCACTTGATATTATTCAATATCAAATTCTACAATACCAAAGATGGTTATGGCTCTACAACCACAACCTCCTTTGAATATCTGATAAATCTTTCATCCATTACAATTTCACGGAACAATATATTATTAGTTCTTTTTTATCAACATCTATGTTAAGACAAGTTTGCTCGATATCAACTTACATCAGTCATTCCTTCCTCTGCCGCTTTATTGGGGATTGGGAAGTACCTGAGTTGATTCCCTGTTGCTTTTGAGGACATCTATTTGCATAATGACCTTCCTCATGACAGTTGAAGCAGATTACACCTAACACTCGTTTTGGTGCCTTATATGTCATAGCTGTAGAATTGATCTTATCAGAGGATGATTCCAGACTTTTCATGGGATTATTCCTACCACAATGGCTTGCCTCACCACAATTCAGGCTTAGGACAGTTGGTACTGTTCCATTATCCGCTTTAGGTTGGCGTTCATAGGTATCATCATGTGGCTCTAGTTCTGCAGTCAACATGACTTCTAGTAGATTTTGAGGACATGTATAAGAAAAGTGACCTCTGTCACCACAGTCGAAGCAGGTCACTCCTGTTAGGTTCGGTGTCTTATCTTTCATAGCTGCAGCATTGGTTGATCTGACTCCATGTTGCTTTTGCTTTTGAGGACATTTATTTGAATAGTGACCTTTGCCCCCACAGTTGAAGCAGGTTACTCCTAAAGATTGGTTTGGTGCCTTATCTGCAGCAACGTTAGCCTTGTCAGAGGATGGTACATGGCATCTGTTAGGGTTCCTCAAAGCAGAATGGCCTTCCTCTCCTTGATTGAAGCCTAAGACCCTGGGCACCATTTCATTGTCCCCTTTAGGTTGGCCTCCATTCTTATCATTATATGGCTCTAATTCTCTGGTCAATGTAATTGGTGTGACTGCTGTGTTGCTTGTTTCTCTCAATGCTTGTCTCAGAGTAGCTCGGAAACTCTCTCGTTGATTCTGAGTTATTGCAGTGAGCATTGGACTCAAATGACATTGAACAGGGACATGTCCATTGCCTTCACAAAGAAAACATGTAATTTTTCCCATAGGACATCTCCCGAGTGGATGATGCTTCTCACAGCTGGAGCAACCTAGGTGATGCCAATTATCATAGTGTCCTTTTTCTCCACAACGACGGCAAGCACGCCTCTCACTCTCATTCTGATGGCAGCACCATAAGTGACAGTGGCCAACCTTGCCACAAAGAGTACATATGACATATTTTTCTTTATTCTTCATGGGGCACTCACAAGTGTAGTGTCCTTCTTTCCCACATACCATGCAAGTGATCTTCCCAGTTTGTTTGTCATTGAGATACAAGAGAATATAGTCAGAATTGGGTATCTCCCAGGAGTCATTATAGGGTACCGCCTTTGGACGGCTAAATTGAGTGTTCTCCATCTACGAAGTTGATTAAAATTGTTACCACATCCAAGCGAAAACATTAAGGCTAATGAGGAATTAGTCAACTGCTTAAGTGAAGCAAGTTGACCAAAAAAAAAAGACTTGCATAACATTCATGAAAAAAAAATCCTTCTTGCCACAAAAATACAGTGCCTATAGGTTCACTAGGTGCAGCACGGCAGCACACATGAGCAAGTCAAAACATAACTGGCATTACTACCGTAAACAGGTGTATATGGAAACCATTTGCGATTATGTGACGTCAGATGGTTCTAAAGGAAAATCATCTGACTTTGTCAAGAAGGTTAGGAACTATTAGTAATGATGTGTTGTTTCTAACGGATTTCTTTTATAACCATTAGAGATTATAGAAAAAAGAAAATTATCAAAAGGAGTGCTTATCTCATTGAAGAATGGATATCAGAGATGTACAACTGAATAAAACTTATTTAGTCACAGCGGCATCAATTTAAAGCCTGTAATTTGATCGCATATATAATACATGTGTTAGGATCTACAGATTGTTTGCAAACTAATGAAAATTAACAAGTAAATATTTCCATATGTAACGTAATGCAGTGCTTAACCTTTTTCCTTCCTAAATTGTTGTCATCCACTTTCTCTGTCATTTTGTCGTGTTTTAGTCTTACAATGGCGAGCTTAATTTGAATGGATGTACACATATTCATTTGTTCAGCATTTAAACATCAACCATCCAACATCACTTTGACTACACTATTGTTAAAAAAAAAAATCAACCTCCTAGTTTCAGTGCGCTCATTTCTCCAAATTTTGCTTCGCGAGATGTCTCCTAGCAACGCGGAGCATACATCAAACTAGTAGCCTATACTCTTCAGCAACGATGTGAATCTCTACTTTGTGCACCTCTAACGCATGCTTCATCAGACACCCTCTTTCCATTTCCCTTGCAATGCGCAATAAAACCACTCACGAACTCACTCTCCACTAATTTCTCAACAAGTCTAAGCTAGCTAGCTTCCTCTCTACAGCAAGGAAGCTCTCCTAGTACCAAATTCCCCAATTTCCTTTTCTCCCCCAACGCATCCATCGGTGGTTGGATTTCCAGCCTCCAAAGCCCATGACGGAGAGCGGTGCCGGTTCGATTCACCGCATCAGCGTAAAGCCCCTCATCGATCAATCACACGGGGGGTAAGGAATCCGTCTAGCTAGCAGGTAGATCCTCCTCGCGCGCAGAGCGGAAAAGCTAAATTAAGCCATCCACCGGTGGGCGCGGGCAAGCAAAGAAAACACCCCCCGCGAGAGGAGGAAAACGACAACGAGTGGTGGTAGGTACAGAGAGCGTGTGGCGCATACCTTTGCCTCGCCGGCGGCGAGCGCTTGCCGGAGCAGCGGCTGGTGTTCCGTTCCGTTCCGTTCTTCCGCGCGAGAGGGGGGAGGGAGGGGGGGGAGGAAGAGGCGATGCGGAAGAGGAAGGAGAAGAAGAAGAAGACGCGTGGGTGAAGCGAAGAGACGTGTAAACTGCACGTGGCGCGGCGGGTGAGCCCCACTGGGTCCCTCCTCGGATGCCTTATCCCATCTTCCCCTCACCGTATCGTATTCGTTCTCTTCCTCTACACCGTACGAACGGCAACACAGCCCCTTCGGCGAGCTCGATCCTTGCTCTTTAGGTCTTGTTTTGTTCGGTTTAAAGTGGATTGAATAGGATTAGAATGTCACCTAATAGGGATTAATAAAACTAGCTAAAACCTTGCACGTTACTGCAGGTGTTCAATATAATTATAACAAATAAAAATAATGTGTAAGATAGCTAAACTACATAAACTTATATAAGTTAATAAGTTAATATGGTTTATAATAATTTAAATTTAAATAGTATATAGAATGATGATTCAAATGTAAAAGTAAGATGATATGGTTTTATGAAAGAAGAAAGAGAGATACTTTGGACCATAGATTAATCATCTAAGACTAAAACCAATTGATGTGATATGATTTAATGGGAGAAGAGAAAAATAACACTAACTAAGTGAGGATGAATCATATAGGTATATATGATATTATAAAAAATGATGAAGAGATATATTGAAATATTATATGAATTATATGGGATGATGATTTAACATGCTTATATCTTAAAACTCTAAAATTTAATAAATTATAAAATTATATATAATATAACATGCTTGCATGATGTTTAAATGTAATAATTGTTAGTGGATGATGATGTAGCATCTTTGCATGTTGAGCTTTAGAATTTAGTGGGTTATAATTTTATAGTAAGATAGGATAAGATCTTGTGAGTCCCCCTTTCTCCGGTGAACGTGAACTCCTCTAAAGAAGAACAGAATGTAGTCGAGCGGCTTTTCTTTGGCGAAGACCTCTCCCCAATGAGGCCCCTCCTTCTCGTTCTGCGAGCTTACTCTGACGAGATCATCCGGAAACTATGTCAATTCTTTTTATACTCATCCCCTATCTTGGTCATGTGTAGTTGGCTGGCCTCGCTGGCACCGAAAGACGCCAACGTGCCAGCGAGCCCTGTCTGCCCGGCCTCATCCTCCTCTTCACCCCGCTTTGCCCAGCCACCAACACTAGCTCATTGTCCATCTTTGTGCACTGCCCACTGTCGGTCCACCGCCTCTAATGCTATCCCTCTAAACCCGATCCCTCACTTCCCATCATCATGGCCTTCCTCCCCCACCTACCCCTGAAACACTAACCCTCACCCTATAGTTGTGACGCGGTCAAAACCACACGTGTGAGTTCGACTGCTAGCGCATATACACGAATTAATATTCTTGTATCATTTATATCAATGCATTGTAATTGCAAACGGCTTTATCCCATGACCTCGGCTCTAATCATCTGATAAAAACCTAAATTTTTATGAGAATTAAATAAGGCATTACGATGCTATGATTTTCTTACTTATATCACTGTGGCATGGGCTTCATTATTCAGTAATAAAAGAAAAACCGTGATGCTTAGAGTGAATGATTCCATGGGTGGTATATGCCTGTAATTTTTGAGAGGAAGTATATACCTATATTTGATATAAGGAAAAGGTTCATTTTGATTTCTTAATTATGGTTTTGGTTTAGTTTTGGTCCTTTAGATGTGAAACCAATTAAAGTTGGTTCCTCAACTTTTAAAATAATCTATATCCCATCCTTAAAAAAACCGAGGTGTTTTTCGATGATGTGACACAATGTGTCATTATTGTTAAGCAAATACAACGGCCCAGGGTGAATGGCCATACCAGGGTACCCACACATCCATCTATGATGTTTCAGGTTCAAATTGTTCAGAATCCCCAACGCAAACCTTTTTTTCTAGGGTTAATTAAATACATGCCATTAAAAATTTACCAGTTTTAAAATATATCATTAGTATTCATATATTTAGAAATATACCAATATAATTTCATATATATTCAAAAGATACCACTACTTGACTCTTCTATGCATTTCCAAGAAAAATTGGATCAAACTACCACCTTTCCTTCTTCCTTCTTCCCCTTTCTCCTTCCTCCTCTCTCTTTCACCTTCCTCCTCTCTTTCTTCTCAGTGGCGCGTCGGCGGCAGCGGCGGCGAGCGCAGCAGCGGCGATGTGCGCACGGAGGTGAGTGGCGGCGCGGCTCGGCGGCGGCGGTAGCAGCGACGGCGGCTCGGCGGCGGCAGAAGCAACAGCGGCGCCAGCTGCAGTAGCGACGCGGCGGCGGCGCGAGCAGCAGAAAGAGCGCGCGCGGCGGCAGCACGAGCGAGCAGCATGTGGCGGGGATGGCGGCGGAGTGAGCGGTGAGACGGCGGCAGCAACAGCAGCGGCGTGCGGCGGCTCGGCGGCGAGCGCAGCAGCGGCGGCGCGGCGGCTCGGCGACGAGCGCAGCAGCGACGGCGCGGCAGCGGCAGCTGCAGGCTATAGCAGCGACGGCACGGCGGTGGCAGCTGCAGCAGCGACGCGGCAGCTGTGCGGCGAGCGCAGCAGCGACGGCTCGGCGGCGGCAGCTGCAGGCTGCAGCAGCGGCGGCGCGGCGGTGGCAGCTGCAGCAGCGATGCGGCCGCCGCAGCAGCGCAGTGGAGGAGAGAGAGAGGGGTAGAAGATGGGGAAGAGAGAGAGAGGTAGAAGATAAGGGCATTTTTGTCTAATACATGTAAAATACGTTGCAGTGGCATCGTTACAAAACACAAATAGTAATAGTATATTTCAAAATCAGTAAATTTTTAATAGTATGGATCTAATTAACCCTTTTTTCTAACGCCTTGCGTGTAGCAATTCGAAAGAAATCTTAGAAGTTTCAACCAACATTTTTCTTTTTCTACACGCACAATTTCAACTCAAACTCTGGAAACTTACAAATAGCACCCTGAAACTTCTACATTCAATCAAAAGTTTATATTCAAAATATAGAACTTTCATTGACAGCTGTTAATACTTTGTTTCAAAACCTAACATTTCAAATCAAATTTTCAAACTTTCTATTCACAACATTAAACTTTCAACTCAAATCTGACCGTTACAAACTCATTTTTTTTTAAAAAAAATACTTTTAAACCTAGTTACAAAACTTTCAAACCAGAAATTATTGTCAAAGTGTGCACAATTAAATGGTGGAAGAGGGTGGCGTGGAGCTTGTCTGTGGCAGGATCTACGAAAGAAGATCCAGCATGCACCTCATCTGTGATAGCATGAAGGGGATGCCGTCATCTTGCTCTAGCGGCTTGTTTGGCAACTTGAGGAAAGGGGATTGGGAGTTTACATGAGGGAATTGATGGTGAGATTAAGATGTGAATTTGATTTTTCATCCCAGTCTCTTGTTTGGTAGAGGTGGTGGAAATTGATAGGGAATTTAGTTGGAGATTATATCATTAATGAAAATGGATGGCTGAGATTTGTTTAGGCGAAGTAAAGGAGGAATTCCCTCCCAATTACCTGCCCCTACCTAGGTATTGAAAAGGAGGGAGTTCATTCCTCAATTCCCCATCCCCATCCCACCAAAATTCCCATGTCCCCCAACCAAACAAAACAGTTAATAGCCTCATCCCTTTAAACTCCCAATCCCTCCTAGAAACTTCCTCCAACCAAACAGACTGTAGGAGAAGTATGCAAGGGACTCGAGTTTACTCGATGTCTCGTCGAGAGAAGAGGGGTAGCATAGAAAAAAACAATTTTCACAAGCCCTCACCATTAATTTCCTAGGTGGATAAAATATGAAACGCTTTCTTTATGGTTACCACGGTGGTGTGGGGGAGGGGGGTGGGTGGGGTGGGGTGGGGGGCTTTAAAGAGCTGCCCCGTGTAAACTATAAATACACTAGGCAGCAGATGATGTAAGCTGCCCGTGAAAAACGTTTCAATTTACCCGGACGGCGCTTGTTGGACGACTTCCCATTATAGCACAATGCACATAGGAGGTGCCGACTAGAACTTCGGCCTTGTTTAGATCCCACTATAAAATTTTTCACCATGTCACATCGAACGTTTGAACACATGTATAAAAAATTAAATATAAGCTAAAAAAATAACTAATTGCATAGATTGCGACTAATTTGCAAGACGAATCTTTTAAGCCTAATTGCTTCATGATTTGACAATGTGGTGCTACAGTAAACATTTGCTAATGACAAATTAATTAGGCTTAATAAATTCGTCTCGCGGTTTACTGACGGATTCTGCAATTAGTTTTTTATTAGTGTCCGAACACCTCATGTGACACCCTATATAATACTCGATATGACACGCCAAAACTTTAAACCCCTGATCTAAACACCCCCTTTAACATATTTACATGTCCCATCAAATGAAACCACCTTATTCATTCAGAGCACCCAAAACACAAGTTGGACATCGACATGTCACACAAGTTGATCAAAACGAAGTTAAAAGCTATGATAAAACAAGGGCTATCAGAGGTTAAAGCGAAATCGTCAATCGTTTTACACAAATGCTGCGCAGCAGCCAAAAACTAGAGCTAAAGCTCATTCCAAGCTTCAGCCATGAGCATCAAGATTTATTGGAGATAGCTTAGAGGGAAAGCCATTGGAGGGATAGCTCTAGGAGAAGAAAATTTGGTCTGGTACAGAGAGATAAATACCATGGCTTTCATTAGTTCTTGCCCATCGCCACTCCGTCCTGCTGCCTAAGCCTTTGACCTTCAACGGAAAGATAGTTCTGGAATTTCTCCTGCCAGAATGCAAGAAATGGTTATACTCCCATAACTGTAAACACATTAATCGGATAGTTGTTGACATCCAAACTAAACAAACAAACTCACACAAGAATTGTATAGCTGTTTGTCATCCAAACAAAAAGAGACTGAAAAAAACAAGGAACTTAGATCAGGCATGCTTGGATTTCTTGTGACAAAAGTGCAGTCACACTTGGATCAGTTCTAGAAGGCAGCCCAAGAACAGGTGGCTGTAGGCAACTTGGCATTTACAGGTTGGTCACCAAGGGAAACCAAATTCTGAAACATATTGACGGACTTTGGATATTGAAAACAAGACTAATTCAAGCTGGACGATAAGAAACAAGTGTTCCCAACTATTAATTGAGTCCTCATTCCAGAACATTATTTTACGGAAAGCATAACTGGTGAACAGATCTGCGTCCCCCCGCGTCGCCCCCGTGCAGGCGACCGGGGGGCGAAACCCTAGCCCCACCGCTGCCCCACCTTTCCCCTCCCTCCCCCCTCGCCGCCGCCGGAGATCGCCACCGGCAAAACCGGTTGGTGAACGAGGATGGCGGCGGCGGGGCCTTTCTCGCGGCGGCGCCCCGTCTCTGCGCGGGGGGCGCAGCGTCCGCCGGCGGCGGCGGGATCTCCAGGCTGGGCGGTGGCAGATCTGGGCCCGCCGTCGCCGGATCCGAAGACGGCGGCGTCGGGCGGTGCTTCGAGGAGGGGGTGCGGTCTTCGGAATCTCTGCGGTGCGTGGCAACGTGGTGGCTGACGACGGCGGCGGCTGGCGGCGCTCGCGTGGCGGCGTGGTGGCCGGCAGTCGCGAGCCTCTGCTGCGTTGGGTCGGCACCGGGTCGGCGCTGTGCCCTGGCGCATGGCAGCTCGGCGAGTGCGGTGGTTTCCGGCTCCGGAGGCCTCCCCACCCCCATCCCCTCAGACCACCTCCCTCTCTCTCTCCCCTCTCCCACCAAGCGGCGGGGTCCCGGCGGCGCTAGGCACTCCTGTGGCGGTGGGATTGTGCGGCAGTGCGGCTGCCGGCGCACAGGCGGCGGAGTTCGCCGGCGCTAGCGTGGTGGCGATGCGGCGCCTGCCGGCTTCGGTGGTCGGTGGTGTGTCGGCCTTCTGGGGCGCCGGCGACTCTGGTCTTCGGCCTCTTCTGTCTCCGGCGATTCCTGAGGCCGCCGCCCCCCTATCTTCTTTCCTTCCTCCCTTCCTCCTTTGCTCTCTGTGAAAGAAAGGGGCGTGTGCTTGTGCCGGCGCCCCAGCCCCTCCATTCCTTCCCCTCGCCAAGGTTTCTTCTCAGTTGCTCTTCTGCTCACCCCCAGCACACCTCTCTCTGCGCTGGTGGTTTAGTTGAAGGTGGTTGTTCAGTTGTTTGGTTTGTCTCGCGAAGCCTGGAGACCCTCGCCGGATTCATGGAAGACATCGACGTCTTTGTTGCCCTGTCTCAGCTATCAGTTCCTCTCAAAGCGGCCTAAGCCTCCTTCATCCTTGGTGCTCCTCCCTTCTTTTGGCTGTCTGCTTCCAGACCCGGCTGTGGAGCCTTTCGGTGGCTGAGGTGTTGTGTTTGTCTGTGTTGGTGGTTCGGTCTGTCTGTAGTCAGGGCTCTTGGGCCTCGTCATGTTTCAAGTGCCCTGTGTCTGTGTAAACCTATCGTAGTGCCGAGTGTTGAGCAGGGTGCTTGTCCTCTTTGTTGCTAGAGTCTTTGTGTTTAGGTGGAGTCGGAGCTGCTGCATCGGATTCAGCCGATGAGCCGGGCAACGATAACTCTAAACACTCCGGCTCTGGCTTCTTAGAGGCTCTACACCTTTTAAGGGAGTCTTAGGTGAAAGCCTAGTCTGGTCACAGGATCGGCGACATCGACATCTGCGGGCGCCGTTTCCTCCTTGGAGGTGTTGCCTTGTGGACTCCCTCCCCTTTCGGGTGAAAACCCAGCCCAGTTGGGCGGGTGTCGGCATCAGCCTCTATCGTTGTTTACCTCCTTGGAGGCTTCGCCTTGAAGGTCTTGCTCTTCCCTCGGTGTCTACTATGGTTCGTAGTTTTGTCACAGGCTTTTTGTGTCTTCTGTGTAAGGTTTTGCCGGTTTCCCTTTAGCAAACTGTGCAGTTGTATGGTTTTTGGGCCCGGTTTTCCTTATAAACAGGGTTAACTCTCTTCTTCTAATATATCCGATAGATCTCCTACCGTCTACTGTTTCAAATTAATTGAGTCCTCATGGACATCTAATAACTGTCATGGTTCTTACTGTCCACATACTTTGGTTTGCAGTGAATTGTCAAGTTTCCCATAAAAATAATAAAACAAGATTAAGTATTGAGATTACATGGCTAACATCAACAGACTAACAAGAAAGTTGTCACACCAAAAATCTGAGACACCTCAAGGAGAAAATAGCTGACATAAATGAGGAGTAAATCCATAAATTGTACTTCCTCTGTCCTAGAACAAGTTAATCTAGTATGATATGTGACATATCTTAAAACTACGAATCTGGATACATATATGTCTAAATTCGTAGTAATAGGATATGTTATATCCCGTACTAGGTTATAGGACAGAGGTAGTAGTATAGAACAATCTGGTGTTTAGAATTCTTATATTACCTAAAGAAATAAGAAGTCACGAGCTAAGAGTGTTAAAAGATGACAATGAAGTACGAGATGCACCAAGGATAACTACTACTCTTCCTGCAAGCATTGAAATGAACAATTTGGTGTGCAAAAAATCAGAAGGTGCAAGTGTGCGACAATCTTCCGAATAACAAGAAACAGTCGAAGTCGAGCATTCCAGGAGCCAAAAGATACTGTAATCACCCACATTATTGTCCTTAACTATATCATCCTTACAATCAGAAACTAGAAAATGCATCATATATTATCTCAATATCCTAAAGAAAAGAAAAGAAAAGAAAATTTCCGCCGCAAACCTAGCGAGTTATTAACGGGGTCGGCACATGAACGCCCGGCCCAGCCACCACATGAAGCCACCGGATCCACGCTCATCCAACAAGTAGACAAATGTAGCAAGGGAGGGAAAGCGCAACGGAGCGAGCACGGATGGATGACATGGGGATGGGGGGAGGGAGTGGGGTTGCGCAGGTAAACCTTGGCGTTGAAGAGGAAGAGGCCGGTGAGGCCAGCGGTAGTGACGCCGCCCCAGATGAGGACGGTGGAGGAGAGCAGCGACCACTTGTGGTAGATCATCCTTGTGTTCCTTCTCTTGCGGCGACGGTGGATGGGAGATGATCAGACGAGACGAGCAAACGTAGATAAGAATAAGTCCAATATTACTTCCTTAAAAGTGACCTGAATCTAATCCGCGTGACCTTTAACCGCCAAACCAGATATCTTTGACCCCTAAAATATTAAAACCGGTGCAATTTGACTCCCTTGATGGTATTGAAGAGCGGCTTCGCTGACGTGCAATCTACGTGACAGTGTTGACCAACACTGGTCTGCCGTTGACCTGTGTCAAATCTAGAGTTGCAGCGAAATTCAAACCACAAAACTAGGTGGCCTAGGAATAAAATCACAGCAAAATTCAAACCACAAAATTAACTAGGTGGCCTAGGAATTTGGCGCTGCAGCAAAACTCAAACAAAAAAAAAATAGGGGATCTAACTAGCTGCTGATTAGATGGGGGTGGACTAAGAGAAATTTGAGCATGCCTTATTACACGATTTGTGCCCAGCGGTTTGAAAATTTTCATCGGAAAATCTCCTTGACGAATCGGTGTATTGAAAGAAGATCACTACCTCTGCCATTCCAAATGAATTAAGGTATTTGCACTTTAGAAACTTATTGTACCATATAGTACTTGTTTCCTGAATTTTAACGAGCGTTAAAACTAATGCTATTACTGAATTTTAAAAGGAGAAATAAACTATTAATGTTTGTAAGCCTGCATCAATAATTGGTCTCGTTTAATTTTCGTCCTACAGATCCTTGTTTACATATTACATATTGTATCAAGAATTTTAGTAATTTTTCCTAACAAAATTTATGCAGTGGCTCAACTAAAAGAAAAGCTAAAGTTAACTGAATTTGGATGAGATGGTATGGGACCATAGCGCTTCATGAGCCTTAGGACCATAGCTCAATCAAGTTTTGTTTTAGTTCAGATTGCACTGTTTTCACCTGCATATTTTGGAACGCAGAACACGTGACATGATGGACTGTACAGAATCAAACTATGTGGTTATGTGCTACTAACTGCTAATCCTTTCTTGAGTTGAATATCATAGTTCTTACCAAACTGAGTAATTACTCTTCAGTAAGTGCAACGGAGTTCAGACTGAAAAAGAAGTTGCCATGGCCTTCAGACTTTCAAAGTATATGTAACATGGACTATTGAACAGTTGAACTGTATATGTTGAATTTGTTAACTCTTTGTGAATGGAAAACCACAAATTTCCTACAACTAATTTATTGGCCATCAATTAAGCTCAACACAGTAGTGTTGTTGATACTGAAACTATACTTTTTCTTTCCTATTTAGTTTGATTATATCCTGAAGTCTGCCTGTAAACAACGTTTTCTTTGTTACAATGACTCAACAGTATATACAGTATGAGGCCCTAAGCGAGTGAATAAATATAGTTGTGCTTCAAAATCTTATAGTACCATATAGTATTTCTTTCCTGAATGCCTTTAATTTGATGCTAACAAAATTATAGTATTGTAATAATTATTGCCTTTTGAACAAATTTTGTAGAAGACGAAAAACGTAGTTGATCCTGGGCAGGCAGGAGCATGGCATCATCAACACCGAATGGAACATGACGGGGCAAGAGGGCTCTGCTGTGAGAAAACTACTATTTTTTGAGTTAGTTTCTCCTGTTGTTTTTTGGGTTAGTTTCTCTTGTTATCTAGGACTGCCTCATGGGAGATTTGCAATGGGATATAGTTTGATAAGCCCAAATGATGTTGATTCTATCAAGTCCAGGAAAAGATTGCTTCCAAACCCACAAACTAGTGGTAAGATTCTTTTGAGTTCCAATCTTCAACCATTGTGTCCTCTTAGAAGGTTTCAATTTATCAACACCTAAGGAAACCTGGACAAATAGACCTTACAAGAACATCAACTTTTGCTTGTATGTGTTAATTCTGCTCTTTTTTATTTTTCACCTTCTCAAATAAGGATTTGTCTACATATGAAGTATGGAACACCCTATCCTAGGATACCAATCGAAATCATTTAACCTCACAGTCATAACCAATCATTTATTTATTTATTTATTTATTTATTTATTTTATAACCTTAACTCATAAAACTTGATTCTTTAAGCTTAGTATTAGAGGAATCAAAGCAATTTTGATAATATTAGGTACACCCAACGTACTAAATCTTTTAAAATTTATCAACTCTACAATGACTTTTAGAGCTGAACCCTGCTATTTAACCTGTGCTTTCTTGGATGATACAACATGCTGACTGAGGCCATAGGAGCCTGAAGAATGGACAAAGAACACTTACTTTATACATGTCTGATCATGGGAGAAGAATAGTAAATAAATAGATCTGGGAATAAAGGAATTATGATGAAATTATCGATCAAAGCAATTCATTGCAATTTTGTACTAAATATGAAATTATCTATCAAAGCAATTCACTGCAATTTTGTACTGCTTTCAATGAACTTTATACTTGCAAATTCAAATGTTCCCATTGACTTGGATGCTCCCTGATGATTCCATCAGTTTCTGTAGTCTATACATGTTATGAGTTGATGATATGAATCACAGTTTTTCATGCAGCAAAATACTAACATATATGTGCTCTATCACCAATTTCTTTCATTATAATCTCGGTTAAATGTTTGTGTATTGACGGTACTATAGAAGTTAACTTGCCATTATAATATGGGTTAATTTTGTCTATGAATGGACAGTCACCATCAAGCTTAATGTATGGTGTATCAAGCTCCTCAAAAAGAAAAGCGTATGAATCAAATCATGGAGATGGTGGTTTTGCTCATGATGATTTAGAGACTATGGTGCTGATCATGATGATGATATTGGAGAGTACTATGGTGATGATCATGATGATACTATGAATAGCTGAATTCTTATTCTTGTAATTCATTCGAATTGATTAGCATGAGATTCATTAATGTAACGCCCCGACATTCGTTGGCCATAAACACAGCTAACTCACACCGGAGTGCTATGCATTACCTGTGAGATAGTACCAGTCCCAGGATACACTAGCTGGTATACACAAAATAAATGTAGAATCAAAGTAAACAGCTTTATTACATCACTGGATAGTAGTCCTTACATAAGTTGTCATCATGGACAGGCCCATAGATGAGCAACACAACACTACAGAAAACCATAAAAGCGACGGCGCAGAAACGAACAGCATGAAGAGACTAAGCGACTAAGCAACTACGCAACTACGCAACTACGCACTAGGCAAAGAACCTAGGCAACTAACTTATTCCATAGGCAAGGCTTAGGGCTAGGCACGAAACATCTAGAAGTCTTCATACTCGGCTTGCTCCTGGAGATACTCCTCGGCGGTCAGGATGACGTCTTCATCTTCGAACTCTATAGATTATTGTAAGGGGCAAGGGTGAGTACTTAACGTACTCAGCAAGCCAGGGGAAAGAATGACATGTTTGGTTTAAATAAGGAGGCTAAGGTTTTATTTGCGAAAGCTGCCTTTTTGGCAAAGTGATTTATTTCACAAAACTCCTAATGAGTGAATCAAGTTTTAGTTGTCAGGAGGAGGCATATTCTATATCGCTGCCATTGTTACTTTGGTGTGGAGGGGAAGATTATGTTGTCTGCAAGATAAAAGGAAAGTTAGTTAAGGTTTAAATCGGCTAACGAATTGTGCAGGCAAAATAAGCAAAGTGAAGATGTACCTGAGGGACAACATCAGGAAACAGATCTGTCATGTACATGGAGGCTGGCTGATGGAAGATATGTTGCTTCCATTCTCCCCACCATCTGTCAAAGTTTCTGCTCCTAAACCTTGCCAGCTCTATGTTCTCAATGCTGCCTAAAGGAGGTCCTGGAATGTTGAGCAGCCGATCCATCATCAGGGTTGATGAAATCTCTCCTCAGCATTGAATTTTGTCAGCAAAGAACAAGCTGATTGGGAGTTGGCCCATTCCAAATTGCCTGGCCGAGCTCATCGGATGATAGAATTCATAGAAGACATGAATGTTACTCTCTTGATGAATGTCGACAGGAAGGATGCATGGGCTGATTGCAGCTGAGAAGACTTCTCTGGATTTTTGGTATCTCTCATGATTGATGTCTTCAAATCTAAAATCTGATGGGAGATCCAGATGTACTGAGTCTTCATAGGGGAACCAGACCCGAGCATCTTTCTGAAAGCCTTCATAAAAGCTACAGAACTGGTCCTTGAGCAATTCGGCTGTTAATTTTGCTCCTGCATCGGCTGGTGTGGTGGCATACTCTCCATAAGACATGCATCTGCGATGCGTTCTTCTCCATCGTCTTCTGTGATCGGCTCCAATCTTGGGAATTCTGCTCCTGTCACGGATGGCCGATTGACAGCTTTCATGACTATCAAATTTAGCCAAGTTTGCAGTAGCCACCATGGTCCACCTGCTCCAACCACCGAGCCGACAGCTATCTTAGCCGATGCATTGTTCAACATTTGGTACAGATAGCCGATGAGGATTTTGCCTAAGGGGAATTATCTTTTTGATTCTAAGGCTTCGGCTACAAACTGTTAGTTGGTTGTAGGGCCACAACTTGATCCATAGAAGAGAAATTTCTCCAGCCACATCAGTAGAAAGGCTACATGCTCTCGAGAGGTGACTGGCCCTTTGCCCATATATGCTGCCACATAACCAGGCCAACCACATATGCTCTTGGTCCTGAAATCGAATTGATTCTTGGTGTTCAAACTCATAGGATTAGCCGATGAGGTCACATCTAATCCAGTGATCATGGTGATATCGATCAGAGTTGGGGTCATCGGCCCATGGTTGAACAAAAAGGCGTTGATAGTATTGGACCAGAAATAGGTGGCAGCAGCCATCAAGGGTTCATCTTTAGCCGAATTTGCTATAGTGAGGGCGAGTGCTTGGCCGAGTCCAATTTCATCCCAGTGTGTCTGCTTGCTAGCCGATATGCGCTTATAACATGTGGTCCAGCTTTTCTCAGGGGAGGTTTTCTGGAGAGATGGCCAAGATTTGAAGGTGTTTTTCCAATGACCTAGG